ATGCGATTTTCGTTATCAGCAACTTAATACATCAATTCAACTGTTTAGTTGCACAACTAAAAAATAGAATAGTGTGCACACCTCCATATAAGCTCATAGGAATCAAAACGAGACTAAACAGTTCTGCGATAGTTTAGTCAGTCATATATTTCTTTGAGTTTTTTTTAAATTAATATTTATTATATATTTGAATCTACGACTTTAATTTGTATACCAACTAATTCATACAAAACTTGGTTAAAATAAATGAGTAATCAAAACTTTTAACATAACTCCATCTATTGGTCAGGGCTGACACTAAGAGTCAGCAATTCACATTCGAAGCGCATACTTTTTCAATTAATATATTTAACGTAGTTACAAATCAATGGTCGTATAAATATTCAATTAAGTATAATAAATATCACAAGAACTTGTCCTTAACAGAAATGTTAACATGATGTATGGATTATTTACTTTACCATTAACATATCCCATACTTTATAAGGGTAATTAATTCATTTATTTACCCTTTAAAGTAGTAATACATCCCATTTGTGGTCAAACGCTAGTTTATTAATGGTGAAAATGTAAAGAAGCATAATTTTTTTTTAGTTTTCAATATAAAATATTTTTTTTAATTACCATCAGTTCCTTTTCCATGATAGTCTTATAAAGGGCCTGTCTCACCAAATTGTTAATTGTCTGATAAAACCAACGTGTAAAATATGTGATGGAAATATCGGATTTTGTTACCTTATGACAGTGACGTCATTTTTTAGCTATCTGAGCCTCTATCAGTGGTGGGACAGGCCCTTAATTTCTTTATTAGTTTTTTTTAATGCATTATCTTTGTTTAAAAATTGTAAAAAATCGGTATTACTTTAGTTTGTAGAATTACAGTAAAAAGGTTAAAAAAAACATTATAAAATTCAGCAGTTATTTTTTATTTATTTCAATCACAGAATATGTATAACATTGGCAACATTTAATAAAACAACGCATTAACAAAACACGTTATAAATAAAAAAAGTAAAAAAATAATAAATAAATACTATTTAATTTCTTTTAACAATAACGTATTAGAAAATATTTAAATAACAAATATCAAGGTTTTTTTATTTATATCAGTAAAAAATAAAGTCAATTTTTTATAATAATATCATGAATTAATTGTATTACATAAAAAGTGATGTCGTTTTTTTATTTATCTGGAATTATTTTATTTGGTTGATTCCCTGATATTTGTATGTTATACTAAAATATATTACAAAAAATAACTTAACTAATTAAGTACAAATTAAATACAAAACAGATTAAAAACTATAAAATTCACTTAAAATAAACATTTTATACAAAACTATTGAGGAAATTATCGATATATTATTATTTAGTTTAATAAAATATAAAAATTTCATGACATTTTTACAACTAAAATCTTTTTAGCTTATATAGATTTAAAAAAAAAACTTTTTTTATCATATTACTTTAAAATACAAAAAATATTATTTCCATAGTTAAAGTTATTGTAATAATAATTATATTTGTCCTTTAAGAGGTTTTAAATTTTCTGTAATCAATTTAAAATATTAAAAAAAAAAGTTTTCATGCAATTTTAAAACTAAATAAATGCATTCTGGTTCACTGAACTAAACTTAATCTAAAATTGGCACAAAATATAAAAATAAAATTAATTATGCATTTACAGGAGCTTTTACAACTAACAATAAATTAAATATATTTATATTAAAATATTATGTTTACTAGGAACATGGAGAATTTCATAGCAATCGGCGGGTAACTTTTTTTAATCCATTCCGTTTCAGTTTTAGATTACTGTAAGAAAGAAAGATTGTTTGACTCCAAAATATTTTAAAATCTAGTTATATGTATATTCTATAACACTCAGTGATAATGTAGCTTTCTAATGGTGAAAGAATTTTTAAAATCGGTCCAGTAGTTTTTGAGTTTATTAGTTACATTCAAATAAAAAAATCTTTTCCCTTTATAATGTTAATATAGATTTGACCAAATAGTGTAAAAATTTACTTCACTATGTAGATTTCCACTTTAAAAACATTCGTGTAAACATTTCTTAACATTACTAGGAAAGTAAAAAATCAAAATATTATCCTTAATTGAAAAAACACTTTTTTTTACTAATAAGAAAGAGTAGACTATTCTACTCTGACTGCCTTTTAAAACAAATTGAGTTAAAAATAACATTTTTAATGTTATATTAAATAATTAATTATGAAATAAAAAACAATGTTTTTAACTTTCACTTTTGTTTTTTAATTAATCGCAGACGGAGTCGCGGGCGAAAGCTAGTTCTAATCTTATTCACATCAAGTGTTTAAAGATAGTTACCTGTTTCTTTGGCTTGGAAGGGTAGACGAAGGTGGTGGCGGTGTCCTTCCCCTGCGCGCTGCGCGCCGAGCACGTCCACTCCCCCATGTCCCCCCACTGCAGCTCCACTATCAGCAGGTCGCCGGAGGGCAACACCTGCATATATATAAATACTATAGTTTGTCTAAATAAGATAGATTAGTTTGATAAATGACGCTTATGAAGTATCGAATTCAATTTGTATGAAGGCAAATACCGTACTTAATAGACAGGTATCGTAGTGACGAAATTATGCCGTAGCACACATAAAAAAAAATAAAAAAAAACATATCGAGGAATTGAGTACCTCCTTCTTTTGGGAAGTCGGTCAATAAACACGCAACGAACAATTATGAACTGTCGACAAATTGGCTTCAATAATCCCTAAAAGAAC